GGCACGCTCATAGACTTTAAACTTTATGCTTTGTGAAATGATAAAACAAAATGACAAATAGTATATCATTTTGTTGCTGAATTCATTATTAATATCAAAATCGTCGTCACACTCTTTCAATTTCTTAGCATAGTCACAGAATTCTTTCGAATCACCTTAAGCTTTACTCCTGTTCTAGGGCCGTCTCGATGAACGTACACAAATGTAATTTTCTTCGAGATTGTTCTAGAAATATCTGATAATGTCTTAGTTAAGTTCGAGAATAATCTGAAAGGGATTAAACTGTAAACCCTCAGTAAGGATTCATTTGACGTAGGGAGTCATTTCGAAGCACCTGGGGAAGAACTCAATATTTCAAGGGAAAAGTTTCTTTTAGAACTTTTTTTCCATATTTTTGGACAATAAAATTATGAGGTTGTTGTTGTTGTTTTTTCATTAAAGAAAAATTTATTTCTTAACATATCTGGGTGGAAGAACGGCTGATCAGGATAGGCAATTGACTTGTGTCCACAATAAATGAGCTATCGATCGGGCAGATGGAGAGATCACGGGAAAGAAATTCAAAAAATTTATTCTTTACAAATGTTTTCTTTTCTTTATAAATGTTTTTCTATGGCTGTCTTTTGAGCGAAGCGAATGTTAGTTAAATTGGCAGCTTAAAAGTTTGCGCTGCGTCGGTGTTCTTTCTCAGTTTGTTGGCAAATCAATTGTTGACCTGGGAAAGAGATTTCTACGTCCATTTTCGTAATAGCAATATCTTCTTTTTAGTTATGTTATTATAAAAAGTTGTTTTAATGAATTTTTTTCTTTTCTTTATATATTTATTATTGCAGAAATTTGTGATTCTAGTCGCTTTAGTAGCATACGTTTGTGGAGATGTTTCGCATGTGGTTAACACTTATTTGCCGCCGGATGTAGTGTCTACGCAGTCTCGTACTGTTACGTATTCGCCTTCAAGTGGTTATTCATCGGATGTTGTCCCGAATGCAGGTGGTGGGTTTGGTACATCAACAGGATCTTCTACAGGAAAATTTAGCTTAGGCCAGAGTTCTTCTGGGCAATTTCCACTTGGTCAATCGTTTGCACCCAGCTACAGTTTGAATACAGGTTATGCAACTGGCGCAAAACAACCTGGTATAAAGTATACGTCGCCTGTTGGGTTAACAGGAGCAAGTGGTTTAACTTACTCTGGCTCAGGATATGCCAGTGGTGCTAAACAAACTTATGTTGTACCTAGTCAAACTCTCGTTGGCACAAGCCGCTTAGGCGATTCTAGTAGACCCGGTGGTAAATACTCAGTCCCCGCTACATCAGTTCAAAAAATATATTCTGCTGCACCTGGAAATCAAATTACTTATACAAGTAGTAGCGCTCAGAAAACAGTTCCAGCTCCAGGCTTTAAAGGTGCCTTCATAAGTACTGCTTCTCCTATTCCGGCCACTCAAACTGTATACTCAAGTTCGCCTACTCAGAACCCATTCATAACCCCTGGATCGCAAATAACCTACGCCGCTCCCTCTGCTCAAAAAACGCTTGATACCCCTCTTTCACCGGTAACTTATGTTAGTCCGGGACTTCAGGAAACGGGTGGGCAAAAGATTTATTCGGCTCAGACTACTGTAAAACCTTACGTTGGTGCCGGTGCTCAAGTAACTTATTCAGCTCCAGTTGTTCAAAAAACATATACTCAGCCAGGATCTCAAGTGACATATACCAGTCCAGGTGTACAGAAAACTTACTCAGT